ACAACACTCTGGTGATGGAGGCAGTACAAACGCCACTGCATCTTTATAGAGTAAACTGAGGTTAAAGCTGAATGGCTTACCTACAGTCCTACAACTGGCGAGCAGAAAAGGCAAAATGACAACCCTGACCTCCTGATTCTGCAGCCAGCATCTTTCCAATCAGCTGAGCCTCCCTAAGCAAGCATTTAAGTAGGCGCTATCAAGTTGAATTGTTGAAATGAATTGAATTTTTGTTTTCCTTGTTGCCAGCCATTTCTGAGGCTGGGGGATGGGGGAAGGGTGTCTCAGTACTGCCTTGGTAACCTGTGTTTTCTCTGATGGATGCTCCAAATGGGGAAGCCCTGTCTCCCCAGGAAGACTGGAGGCTCCTTGAGGACAGCACCTGAATCTTCTTCTCCTCCTGGCTCCCCCACCACAGAATGAGTGACAGATAAGGGATTTAATATAACTCTGTCAACCCAACTTTCTGGGATCCTCTGGGTCACTTGGAAGTGAGACGCCCTTCTAGGTTCTAAAGGGGGAGAAAATGGGGGAGAACTGTGATAAAAGCTAAAAGTAGCTGGAAGATCAGCTCAATCCTGCCCCCTCCCCAATCCTGGAGGTTGGCCTGGACCCAGCACCAGGTCCCTCCTCTTAGGACTCCTCTAGACTCCTTTAGGTTGTTAAGGAAGAACCCTAGAAATGGATTTCAGTGTCCAGGTGGGGAGGATAGTCAGGGGGAGGAACAAGGAAGGAAGAAAATGTGCATTTATTAAGTGCCTAATACATACCAGACACTGTGCTAAGCCCTTAACAAATATCATCATCTCATTTGCTCCTCATAACAACCCTGGGAGGTAAATGCTATTATGATCCCCACTTTACAGTTGAGGAAACTGAGGCACACGAAGGTTAAGTAACTTGCTCAGGGTCACACAGCTAGTAAACGAAGGCTGCTGTGAACTCAGTTTTTCCTGATTCTATGCCCAGAGCTCTATCCATGGCACCATCTAACAAGGGGCTAAGATAATAAAATCAACATTTGACAGTTATTTATTAAACTCCCAGTATGTTCAGGGAGCTGTGGGAGTGTGAGAAATAATTCATTTGTCTATTCCAATCAGTTTGATACATTACATAAATCGTATAGGGATAGACAGGTTCTTAGAGTGGGCCTCAAACTTTAATGTAGTGTTTACTACTTGTTTACTAAGTTATGAGGCTCACTTGCGCAACCACAAGAATGCTGACAAAGATATCTCCATCCTGTTTTGCTCAAATTTCAGGTCCAAACCCAGCATGGGTGGGATGCCTTGATGCCTTGGAAAGTCCTCTAATTTATTTTTGTACTGCCAGTCCTTTCTCTCTTGTCCAACACAAGCAGGTGACCATCTTGTGAACACTTAGGCGAGATGCCTCATGCTTCACCCAACCTGTGACCACCCTGCTGATATGTCATTTTTGGCCCCCAAGGGCAAGGTCTATCCCCCAGTGAGATTCTGTACTTCACCAAGCCTCTTTGCATTTCTGGAAACCCTATAGAAACCAGGTCCTGGAAGGAGGGGGCATCGAAGATCATGAGGAAGGTCTGAGGTCTACTTCATTAGAGGGGACCGTGGACCCTTTAACAAAGTGCCACTGGCTCAGAACTCTTCCTCAGTCGCTTCTATTGTAAGTTGGACAACTTTAATACCCACAAGAGAAAGACATACACTTGTCTGATGCAACAACCACGTATCATACTATTGGCAGACTAATTTTCCTCATGCAGAGAGTCAATCACGTCATTTGTCTACTCAAAACCCTTCTCTGGCTCTATCTCTATTCCCTAGAGAGCAGACAAACCCTCTTGCCTGGCATTCCAGGCCTTCTACGCTCCAGTGTACCCACCTTTTGGGGAATATTTCTATTCCTCCCTCTCAGTAATCCAGCCAAAACAGACTAATTAAAAAAAAAAAAGCAAGCAAGCAAACTCCGAGAACTTATGCCGGCATACCTTTGCAACTGCTTGGAATGGCTTGCCTCGCTGTCTCTTCATGGGCTGAATTCCTACTCCTCCTTTAAAGACCAATTCTAACGCCACCTCCTCCAGGAGGTCTTCCCTGACTTTCCTCAGTCAGTGATTTCCTCCCTGGGGACTCATACAGCCCTCTGTTTATACCTTTCTGATGAACTAATCACATAATATTGTGTATTATAGCTCTCTGTGTTGCTAAACTGTTTATCTCCCTGAGCACAGGGCTCTGCAGAGTAGGCCCTGACTCAGTTTCTGTTGAACTCAAACAGAAATCAGGGGCCCTTCACCTGTGACACAGACCTCTTGACAAGTCTGGTGAAGTCTGTGGACCCCTCTCAAAATCATGTTTTAAATGAATAAAATAAAATGCATAGCAGTTACACAGGAAACCAATTATACTGAAATATAGTTATCTATCTATCTATTTATATATATTTAATTAGAGATGCCAGCTTAAGAACTTCTGTGAGGGAGTTGCCTGAGGAATATAGAGGTTAAATGACTAGTCCCAGGTTCCATAAAGATAGGAATAGAACCCAGGTTTTCCTGACTCTAAGCCTAGTTAGCCTATGTACATAACATTAGGATGCCCCAATATATTTACTAGAAAATCAATCATCACCAAAGAGCCTATCTGATGTTTAATGTCACTTCCACAGGTTGGTGCCAAAGAACAGCCCCAACCTTCGTGTTCTTATAGTTCTGTCCTCCCAACTTTGGAGGGTGGTTTAAAGTGAGGAAATGAGTCTACATAAGATTGACTATGGAAATATTTGCAGCCAAAGACAGATCCCCTTGAGAACAAGGACTGTATCTCCTTCCTCTATTAATCAGGGGTTTTCAAGCTGGGGTCCATAAACTTGTTTTTGAAAGAAGCCCTTCCCTAGAACTCAGAAATGGATTTCCATTTTGCACTGGTGGAAGCTCCCCCATTCTGAAAGTGGGTATGCATACACCAGAGCATATGGATAATCTGGATAAACCTGCCTCATGACCACTGAGGCTACGCAATCATAAAATCACAGCCTGACACCCATTATAGAACCCTAGAATCACAAATTAAAGGGACTGTCAGAGCTGGGGCACCTAATACAACTTCCCCCCAGAGCAGATAGCCTCTCTACATAGACTTCCTGACAGAGGCTCATCCAAACTCTACTTGGACATGTCCAATGATGGGGGAAGCTCACTCTCTCTCAAGGCAGTCAGATCCACTGCTGGGACAGCTGTGGTTGTTAGAATCCCAGTATCTCCAAGATGAAAGGGGACTAAGGGGGCATCTAGTCTAACCTGTACTTGAGCAAAAATCTCCTCTACAAGAGTATGACAGGTATTGGTCAATAAACAGCAGAGTTTAGCTTTCAGGCATCCAAGAAGGAAGGCTAAGCCTGCTGATTTGGACCTGTCTCTGTTCTGTTTGCCACCCCAACACCCCCTCCCCTTTCAGCGAGGCTATTTCCAACTCCCCCCACCCTCCACTGAATGGGTATTTGCATTTTTTAAAGAAACAGACAGCAAGTGCTCCCTCCCCGGGGCCCTTCATAGTGAGGAGAGAGAAGGGGGATCTTGACTTGAGGGTAAGGACCTACCAGACAATGGTTCCCATCTACCAGCCGAGCGCTCATCCTCTTGGGTGGGCCAAATGTTTCTTCCCCTTTTCCAACACGTGCCCCTCCCTAACTCCCACACTTCCATGTATCCCAATAGGAAATCAAGAGGGCACACAAGAACCAATTCCCCAAAAATGATCAGGAACGACAAGTATATGATGCTGAACAGGTGGCTGGGGAAACGCCTGGAATCTCTACACCCCTGAATTCAGGTAAGGGAGGAGGGGAGGCATTAAAAGCTGGGCAAAGAGACAGGCATTCGTGTAGACCTAGGTTTGAGGTAGAAGTGGGGTGAAATGCAGGAAACAGCCCATAGAAACCATCCCAGTTCCAGGGGTGGGGGTGGAGTGAAATTTAAAGTTTATGAAGAACCTTCTCATCAGGAAGCATGGGCGGGGGGGGGGGGGGGGGAAGGAACTGGGATCATCTACAAAATGAGGGGGTTGGCCTAGATGGTCATTTCTAATTCTAAATCCTATGATCCTGCCATCTGTAAGCAAAGATGATTCCCAGGGCTATTCCAGAAGTGGCTGCAGGGTCTAGGGAGGAGGCATAATGGAGAGGGCAGAACTGGGACAGCAGGGTGCTTTAGTTGACTGGGAGGCCAAAGGACCAAGAGGTAAACGAAGTTTCTGGATTCTTGCCCCTGCAGAGAATCATGGACTGTCAGGACTAGAAGAATATTAGAACATAACTCTGGAATCCAGTCCAACCCCCGTCCTACAGAGGAGAAAACTGGGACCCAAGTTAAGTAACATGTCTAGGGTCACATAGGGAAATAGGGTTAGGGATGGAACTTGTACCCTGGCCTCCCTCCACCACAAGACACTGCTTTTCTTTGAACCTAAGTTTTCAGAAACAACCTCCATCCTGTTAGACGCATCAATTCCTAGCTCTACAAGACCCTAGGGGGTAGCGATGGGGAAGCTGATGGAGGGAAGAGAGAGGTTTTTTTTTTTTTTTTTTTTTTGAGAGAATGGATGACCCCATTACAGTGAACTCCAGGGGGAGACACCCTTGGCTCGGGGTCACCTGAAATACTGGGTAGGTTCCCTGCCCAGTGAGGAGGCTCGTAAAATGAGACTTAAAAGACCACCTCCTCCTCTACAGGGGGGAAATAGAGGCTCGGAGAGGGAAAGGGACCTGCCCAAGGTCACACAGAAAGTCAGTAGCTGAACTGGGACCAGGACACAGGTCTCCTGGCCCCTAGCTTGAGGTGGGGGGTGGGGGTTGGTTCCTGGATGGACAGAAGTTGAACTGAACTCCTGGACTATCGCAGCCTAAGCAAAACCTTACCTGCCCTTGCACACCTGGGCAGGCAGGTAGAGCCCCGCTCCCGATGCCCCCCAGCCAACCCCTTTCCCCTCCCGCGGCCAACTCTGCAAACTCCCCACCTGTTGGCTGATGCTGATGCTGCTGTCTCTGCGGCTGCTATCCGACGCCTGCTATCGCAACTACTGCGCCTGCGTCCCAAGTGCCCAAGGCAGCTCTCCACCCTCACCGCCCCCACCTCCCCAGGCGCTCCTCTTTCTCCCTCGGGGCAAGCCACGAGCCTCCCCCTGGGCCCCGCCTCTGTGCACACACTCACCTTCCCGGGGAGGAGGGACGCGCGGCCTTCTGGGCCATGTAGTCCATATCCCTCGGGAGAACTGAGCGCACGGTCCTGGCCGAGGCTGCGGCTCTCAGAGGGCTCAAATCACAGTGAACGTCCTACCCTACCCGCTTCCCCATACCCGACCTCGGAGGTAGCTGCGATTTCTGCAATTTCTTGTAACTTTCCCGACTTGTTAAACTTTTAAATTGTATTCACCATTGAGATGGATGATTGATAGGATTACTAGGCTTTTTTGCCCCCCAAAGTAGCAGCACTTTAAAAAAATAGTTTGCAAAAGGATCTAGTTTCGCAGTCACTACCTGGGTGAACTCGAGAGTAAGCCCCTTCTCCTCTCTGGGCTTCAGTTTCCTTATCTGGAAAATGAGGGTCCCTCCTAGCCAAGCCGCAAAATTCTATGTTTCAAAGTCCCGGCTCTGACATTTTCTGTTCTCAGGGACTTTCCAGCCCTAATATTTTAGGATCTGACAAATTCCTCCCAGAGACTTCAAACCCTGCAGGACCTTCTTCAGGTTCCACCTCCTCTTAGAAAGTCCCCCTCCCCTGGCCTACTCCAAGGCAGGTTGGGCTCTGAGCACACTTCTCTGTGCTACACAATTTGGCAAAATCACAGAATTTTGAAATCACAGAATGTTAGGAACATAAAGCCACATAGACTAGAAGGAACTCACAGAATACTGGAACTAAATGACACAATTTTTAGAACATAGACCATGGCTCTAGACCTTTGAACAGAGAAGAAAGGATGTCAAAGTGGGAAAGGACCTTGGAGACCCTTTAGTCCAATCTCTTCATTTTATAGAGAGGTCCACCAAACCCAAGGTGTGAATGCTACCTCCCTAGCCATAAGGTGAATGCCCAGAGGGCAGGCCCTGGGTTTCTTCCATCAGAATTCCCCACAGCTGGTTGAGCACCTGGGAGGGATATAACTGATCTGATGTTTGTGTCTGTCACATTCTCGGCCCTGGTACAGATTGGCTGCATCCTTGTCACCAATGACAGAGTTGTCAGAGTCCATGAAGTCCAACACATAGCTGAACAGGAATCCCCTCTACCTGAGAAGACTGAGAAGGAAATCACTATTTTCCAAGGTAAGCCCTTTGAGACAGCCCTAAAATTGTTAAGGCGTTTTTTTCCTGACATCAAGCCTCCATCTTCCTTCCTTCTCAGATCTCCAACTCCTTACCCTTGCTGTGGAGAGAGCCTCAACCTCCGGCAGACAGAGGAGCATGTCAGTCAGAAAGGCCTTTGGTTAGAATCTATTTCCAGTTTCATCTGAGCTCCTTAGGCAACCAAGTGGAGGGATTAGGAGGTCAGAACCAGTGCAAGGCAGAGTGAGGGAGGGAGGGGAAGTGGTGGACAAGGGGGAAGGAAAGGGGGGGGACAGAACTGACAGTTCACCCTTAGCTTAGTTGGGATCCATCTGAGAACTACAATCCTGTTAGCACTCCAAAGCTCATTCCCCTGCATCCCCCCCCCCCCCCCCCAGGATTCACTGCTCAGAGATCGTTCCATTCCTACTGAGAGCAGGAGGGTGAGGGGCAGCAAACTCCTAAAATGTCTGAGCGGGAAGGGGATTTAGAACATAAAACGTAGAACAAGAGAGGTGGATGTAATCTCAGAATGTAGAACACAAAATGTCAGCTGCAAAGGATCTCTGAACATCGAATGTCAGGGTGTGGAGAGGTCTTAGAACATAGAATGTCAGTTAGTTGGAAGGGGCTTAGAACATAGAATGTCAGGATTAGGAAGACCTTCAATTTATCTAGTCTTAAATTAAATGGAGATTAAATGGAATCTGGGGCTGAGAGAGAAGCAGTGGCAGAGCCAGGTGGATTTCCCCTCTGTCCTGTCTCCCATTCATATGGACAAATTGGGACCCCAGTACTTACCTAGCTACATTTCCTGTCAGGATTCTAAGGGTACTCATTAGGGATTGAGGTTCTTTTTCTACTGTCTGCTCAAGCCTCAATTCTGGTATCTCTACAATACCAATCACCAGTTACAATTAGTCTCTCCAATTAACAGCAATTGGCTGTTTTATAAAGGGATATTTACTGATAAGGAACAGCAAGAATAGGAGTTACAAAATATTTTCTCCAACATCAAAGGGCACACTCCCACCCCACTTCAGTCCCTGGGGAGAATGGACTCAATCTTACCTGTTAGCTACAAAGAATTTGCCCCTCCAATTTCACTTACAAATGCAGCAGAGCTACTGGATGAGTTATTTCCTTCTTGCATCCGAACATGACATTGGGGTTGATGCATTGCTGGAACTGGATCAAGCAAGCCACTCTTCAAGGCTGTATTGGTGCCTCCGGTGTATGGGGTGTTCAGGAAGGACTAGCATCTATGGTGTGAGGGTTTGCTAAGAGCTTTTCAGGGCTGCTCATCCCAAATCTCACCAGAGGCGCCAGGAAAATGTAGCGTGGGCAGTGGCCACACCCCAGTAAAACCATCTCAGCATATGGGCTACGTTAGTTTGAGGGTAACCAACAGATCTCAGATCCATCAGTGAGGGGGATGTCTACCCCAAGCACGTGAAGATTTCCTCCAGTGGAATGGGTGGATGAGAACAATTTGTTCTAATGGCTATGAAGATGGCGGAAGCAGGTACTATGGAGTGCTTAGAGCTTGGTTAGACATCAAAGATGCCAAAGTCATCCACTTCAGGGGTAGGGAAACTTCAGCCACATGTGCCCCTCTACGTCCTCAAGTGCGGCCCTTTGATGAATCCAAACATCACAGAACAAAGCAAAGGGCCTTGTTTGAGGACCTAGAGGGCCACATATGGCCTTGAGGCTGTAGGTTCCCCACCCCTGCACTTCATCCTGGGCCATCGCCAGTTGTCCTGACTTTTGTCTTGCCACTGGACTTCAATGACTCTGGAAGAGAGAGGTTGATGACTGTGCAACTCTGCCTCACTTAAATCCAATTTATTCACAAGTCAAGACATCACCTTGTGATGTCACTGGCCTTCTTTGAAAACAAAGAACAAGCAACAGCTGGTGCCTCACATGGAATTCTTGAACCTCTGGCTATACGGGCCGCACGCCGGCCCTCTGCCAGTCGTGCGCCAGTACCTACTTCCCTTAAAAGAAGTACACCACCAGAGTCTTACCCACGCCTGGGTCCTCGGTTCTGAGCCGGCTCACCACACAGAGACAAGCCATCGGGAGGCACCAACACCAGAGCTTTATTCAGAGGCCAACACAGCAAACCATCATAGCAAGCCCAAACAGCAAGGCCAGAGCAACAGGCAGGAGCCAGGGGAGAGCGCGTGTGTGTGATCTGACCACGCTTGTTCCTAAGTACCTACTTAGCCCCTCCTCCCCAGCCCGCTACTAGCCAATGATTGTAGGGTCAGATACCAGAAGGGGCTGTCTGAGTTTAGCACACCAAGGGGGAGGGAGTGACGTAGGAGGCCAGGATTGGATACAGGAAGGAGGCATCTGGGATTGACGCATAGACAAGAGTACGTGACCTAGGAAGTCAGACTCAGGAGGGGACTGGGTCAGTGCTGCACAAAGGGACCCGGAGGTCAGGAAGGTCACAAGAGGCATCTGGGGATGACGTTGCATATAGGGAGGGGACTAAGCAGAGGGAACTCAGTCCTCTGCCATCCCACTCCCACGTGGCACCGCCCCTTGCCTCAGGAGCTCAGGCTCCGCTACTTCCTTGCACCCAGCTTATCTCATAGCACTGCCCAATTGCCTCATGGCTTCTCCGTATCCAGCCCATCCCAGTACACACGACTCTGCCTACCACAGTCCCTGCCTCGACTTCCAAAATACCCAGATCTTACCTTACCCATGCCACAGCACCCAACCTGGCAGCTGCCAACATCAGACAGTCCCTCACATCTGGCAGCTCACTCTTCCAACCTTTCTAAGCTTACAGGGTCATAGCCATCTCCAAAACTCTTCCACCATAGAATAGGAAAGAATAAACACAACAGACTGAAAATAGGTGTGTCGTGTGTTCATGGCTTCATGGCAGCTCCAGGTGAGAGAGAACCTGAGGCACCTCCCTTACCTAGAGGCAGACCCACAGTGGCTCAGCCTCCTCACTCACTACCAGGAAAGCAAAGAGCGTGAGTGTCTCCATTTGAATGTACTGTAGTTCTGGCTCAGCAGACAACCAAAAAAAGGCCCTTCTTCACCATGCAGTAAACAGGTGGTAAACAGTCATAGAATACCTGTGCTGGTACAGAAGCAAGCTCACCAAACATCCATGTGACTCCACTGCATTTGCTCCTGGGCCTGGGCTCTCATTGGCCAGTCCTGCATTTCACATGCATGAAATAAGAGGGTAGGATTCAAATCCTGGGTCAGCCATTTGCTTCCTGTGACACTTTGGACAACTCAATTCAATTCAGTTCAACAAGCATTTATTAAAAGTCTGCTACTGTGTTCCAAGCCCTCACTGTGTTAGACTCGGGAGAGAGAAAGATAAAAATGAAAGAGTTTACCTTAAGGGGCTTACATTCTAATGGGAGACAATGCGCCTCTCCATGTAATTATACACATATTTATATAAAATAAATATAGGGCAATTTGATGGGGAGAGAGGAGTTGGGGGGGGACTAGGAAAAGCCTCATGTAAGGAAGTGATATTTAAGCTAAGTTCTGAAGAAAAGGATAGATTTTAAAAGGTAGCGGTGAGAAGAGCTTTCATTCTAGGCATACATTCTAGGAATTGGGGAAACAGCTTGTACATGAATAAATACAAAATACATACGAAGTGATTTCTAAGGGGAGTACACAGGTCCGATATGAAGGGCAGTTTTCTAAAACAGAGGTTCTAGCAGGCACAGTGGAAGGGTAGGATAGAG